AAAAACGGTGATAATGGGAATAGCGGTAAAATACAGTTAAAAAAACAGACAAAAAACGGAGAAACGGGCAATGGCATGAGAAGGTTTTTATAGCTCTTCGACAATTAAGCAAGCTACTCAAATGACGATTTGTGTTACACCTCGAAATAGACTATCGTCATAGAAACTGAAAGAGAAATTCCATCCAAAAAATGCAAAAGAGGCAATAATCGGGGGTTTTAACTTCTGTCTATCACATTAAAAGTCTGCTTAGAAGAAAAAAGGTACGATAAAGGAGTTCTGAAGAGCTGCTTAAGAAACGTTAAAACTAACGCTTTTCGCTAATTCTGGAACATCGAACATATCTACTGTGTTGGCACTGCTCAGACGCAAATCTAAGCTTTTCACATGGTAGGTGGAAGCTACAAACACAACGCGAGGATGATCAGAATATGTGATTACCTGAAAAAGAACAATTAAACATAAATAAAAAGAAGACAAACAGAAAACGTAAAAAAGTTGATAGTGGAGGTAGAACAGAGAACAAAAGCTATTGATGAAGAATTCGAAAACACTCACCCTTGACTCATTAGTGGCACTCTTTGCTCTAGACAAAGGACTACCTATAACACCACTCCACACCATACCGGCTGTGTCGCACAATGCTATGTCACCCGGCAACAATTTGCATTCTTCGAAACTTCGAACCGAACCCTAAATAACCTATTCAAAAAAGAAAAAAAATCGATGTAAATTGAAATTCTGCAAGAAACTGAGTACCAAGTTTAAAAAAAAACCAAAGGACTTACTCTGAAAACACATTCCTTTCGTGATGTGCTCAGCTCTACCAAGTTCAGATGGGTTTTACATCTCGCCCATAGTTGGTCGCTGTTTATCTCGCTAATTCTGACCTCCATTACGGGGTTATCAGAGGCAAACTGATTCCGCAAATTCCCCTCTGACAGCAATACCCCATCTTCAACCTGAACAGAGTTGATGTAGCGAATCGCAAAAGAGATAATGTCCTAAATGAACCTCTGTTATGTATTCATTGATCATATGACGACCAGACTCGCCAGAAACCGTCCAAAAATACAAATCCCGTGAGTTTCCGCAGGACGCCGCTAACATGTTGATATTGGTCAGCATTCTAGCATCCAGGTCCGCTCGCACACTACCTGGTGGTCGTCGTGGAGCTGTCTAGAACATATACTGATTTGCATGCATGAAGTTTGAGGAATAAGTTTGATGAAGAATGGACTACACACTATTTTATCTAGAAAGAAATTGACTGGATACATAGCGATTTATGCTCACCTTCATTATTCCCCTCCTCAGAGCATGTTCAGCGTAGCCTGTGAGGATTGGTGCAATTGGGCGCTCCCAAAAAGCGGCCAAATTGTATTGCGGTATTTTCCCTGTCTTTAGATTTGATACAATGCCTCCAAAGCCGCGCCAGCCATGATCAGCTAAGCCAAAATCGCGCAGCTTTGGCTCACAATACAAAGGAGTCATTTCATGAACAGGGTGGGACTGTTAACGCTAAAAAACGTGCTTTTCAATATCAAATAAGTATCATAAAAAACAGAGTAGTGATAGACATATACAGAACGACGGAAAAAAAGGCAAATGAGAAAAGAAACTTCATGGAACAGTAAACAGAAATGCGACAGAAAAAAAAAAGAA